CCAGACTCCGTGCGCCTCTCCTGGACAGTGCCCCAGGGCCCTTTCGACTCCTTCCTGGTCCAGTTCCCTGACGCAAATGGGCGCCCCCGGACGGTGCCCGCGGCCGCAGACCAGCGGGAAATTACCATCGAAGGCCTGGAGCCCAGCAGGAAATATACGTTCCTGCTCTACGGGCTCCTCAACGGACAGCACCAGGGCCCCATCTCCGCCCAGGGAGTGACCGGTGAGCTGCTCCGGCGGGCTCTCTCGTGCCTTGGGCTGACAAGGGAAGGGGCTGGCAGGTTCAGGGACCCTACCCAGGCCCAGGGGAGGAGGGTAGCAGGGCCAGGTCTAAGGGAGACAGAGGCTCGGCCAACAGCAGGGCCCAGGATAGGCGACAGGAAAAGAACACCAGCGTGGTCCTGATTCCCACACATCCTAGGCCTCTGCCTGCCTTCCCCAGGACAGCCTTCCCAAAGAGAGGGGCAAACTCGCTTCCTCGGGAGAGTCAGGAGTGGTTCTAGAAAAACAGGGGCCTAGAGACCCACCAGCAGAGGCTGCACCGGTGGAGGGGTGCCCCTGCTTCCCAAGTCCCACACAGGTCCAGATCTGCCTCGAGGGATGGGGCCCCCACCTGGCTGGCGTGATGCACCCGGGGGGCTCTGCAGACTGGTTGTCAGCCTTCTCAGAAGGGAAAACTGGGGCTGGAGTGATAGCACAGTGGGTCGGGCGTTGGCCTTGCACGCGGCCAACCCGGGTTCGATTCCCAGCTTCCTATATGGTCCCCTGAGCACCACCAGGGGTAATTCCTGAGTGTAGAGCCAGGAGTGACCCCTGTGCATCACCGGGTGTGACCCAAAGAGGAAAAAAAAAAAAGAAGGGAGGACAATGTGTCTGTGCTCTGGAAGCAGGTGCATTTCCCCTGCTTCAGGGGAGGGAGGGCGGCCGACCAGGGGTGCCACAGACATGGCAGAGGAGAGAAGTTCCTGACCAAGACTCAGCAGAGGAACCCTGGAAGTATACGGCCCTGCAGAGGGGCGCAGAGGCCCCAAGACAGACCCTACCAGGGCTCTGGCAGAGGGAGCAAGGGCAGATGCTGGACAGACAGTGGTAACCTTGGGCTTCTCTGCACCCAAGCCTGTGATCAGGACCCAGAACCCCCACCCCCAGGGACACCCCTTTTTGAAGACTGGGATGAAATGGGGACCCACAATCTCTGGCACTCAGCTGTGCCCTGGCTTCTTCCTCACAGCCCCGAGAGAAGCCAGGCCGGAGTCCCCTGAGCCCGCGGAAGGGCCCCGGCTCGGGGAGCTGTCGGTGGGCGACGTGGCCCCGCACTCGCTGCGCCTCTCCTGGACCGTGGCCCAGGGCCCCTTTGACTCCTTCGTGGTCCAGTACCCGGGAGCCGACGGGAAAACCCAGGCCTTGCTCGTGGCCGGCAACCAGAACAAGGTGCTGGTGTCGAACCTGGAGCCCAGCACATCCTACAGGTTCCTGCTCTACGGCCTGCGTGATGGGAAGCGCCTGGGGCCCGTCTCCGTGGAGGGCACCACGGGTGAGGCCAGGGAAGGGACACACGAGTCCCCGAGGGCAGCCTGTGGGAGCCACCCCTCCTCAGCCCCGTTTCACAGATGAGGATAGAGGCCGGCTGAGCCAGAGGGATCTGCCCAGCTGAAGGCCTCTGTCTCCCGCCCGCCCTGCAGGGCCTGCGCCACCAGGTCAGACTCCAGAGGAGCTAGGCCCCCGCCTGTCCCAGCTCTCCGTGACCGATGTCACCACCAGCTCCTTGCGGCTCAACTGGGAGGCCCCACCTGGGGCTTTTGACTCCTTCCTGCTCCGCTATGGGGTGCCGTCATCGAGCCCCCTGGACCCCTACCCACGGCCCCTGCTGCAGCGGGAGCTGAAGGTGGGCGGCGGGCAGCGTTCAGCCGTGCTGCGCGACCTGAACCCCGGGACCCTCTACAGCGTCACACTGTATGGGCTGCGCGGGCCCCACAAAGCTGACAGCATCCAGGGCACTGCCCGGACCCTCAGTCCAGGTAAGTCCCCCTGAGAGCCATCCCCGTGGGCTGCCCTAAGGAGGGGGAATTTGTCCTTCTGGGTGGGTGATCCAGCAGGGAGTGGGGCGGTGGTGGGAGCTGGGGGACCACCAGCCCGTCTGAGGCCAGGGCCAGGAGGGTGGGGCTCCTGGCTGAAGTCTCCCTGCCTTGGCCTCACTACCCCCTCCCTGCAGTTCTGGAGAGTCCCCGTGACCTGCAGGTCAGTGAAATCAGTGAGACCTCCGCCAACGTCAGCTGGACACTGCCACTGTCCCAAGTGGACAGCTTCAAAGTTTCCTACCAGTTGGCAGACGAAGGTGACGCCCCCCTCTCCTTCACTCCCTTCCCCTGCATCTCGCCCTTTGCCCACTCTGGTGACTCCCCCTCCACTTCCCGGCTGACCCCCTGAATCACTGTGTCTTCAGGGGAGCCTCAGAGCATACAGGTGGATGGCAGAACCCAGAGCCAGGTGCTGCAGGGGCTGACCCCAGGGACCACCTACCAGGTGACCGTGGTCTCTGTCCGTGGCTTTGAGGAGAGTGAGCCTCTCACTGGCACCTTCAGCACGGGTGAGAGAGACGGGGCACGTGAAGGCGAGATGGGGTGCGAAGGGGAGGTCAGTGGGACCCCCACAGCAGCACAGGGAGTGAGGGGCACGTGGCCCGCTGTGAGCACCCTCTCTCCCCCAGTTTCCGACGGCCCTACCCAGCTCCACGTGGTGAACCTGACGGACCAGTCTGCCATTCTGGTTTGGAACAAGCCCCGCACCCCCGTGGACAAGTTTGACGTCCAGGTCACGGCCTCAGAGAATGAGACAGGCCAAGGTGGGAGCACCCTAGGGGACGTGGGCCCAGCCTGGGGGAGCAGGCACTGACCCCTGACCCCCGCTCCCTCCCACACAGTGGCCACGCTGAAGGACTCGGCACCGGGCAGCACTGTCAACTACTCGGTGACAGGCCTGGAGCGTCACACCAACTACACAGCCACCGTGCGGGGCCTGCGCGGGGACAACGTCACCTCCCCGGCCAGCGTCAACTTCACCACGGGTACGGCCCGCGCGTCTTAGGCCCAGGGGTCGGCATGTGCCTCGTTTCATCTTCTTTCACGTTTGCCTCACAGGGCTGGAGCCCGCCCGGGATTTGGAGGCCAAGGAAGTGACCCCCCGCACAGCCCTGCTCACCTGGGCTGAGCCCCAGGACCCACCTACCGGCTACCTGCTCAGCTTTAACACCCCTGGCGGAGAGACCCAGGTGCCCTCAGCTGCAGCCCTGCTGGCTGGCTCTCTGCCCCCTGTTCTCTTTCAGAGGCACGTGTCTGCCTCTGTCCTGACCCTTCTCTGTCCCACAGGAGATCCTGCTTCCGGGAAGCGTCACCTCCTACAAGCTGCAGGGCCTCTTTCCCTCCACCCTCTACAACGCCTGGCTCCGGGCCGTGTGGGGCAAGAGCTTCACGCCCCCAGTGACTACCTCCTTCACCACCGGTACTGGAGCCCGGGGGGCCCCACAGCCGGCGCGGAGAGGGAAGCGGGGGTCCGCAACTTGTGGCAAGGACGGCCCTCATTCTGCTCTTCCCAGGCGGCCTGCGTGTCCCCTTCCCCCGGGACTGTGGCGAAGAGATGCAGAACGGGGCCGGCACCTCCAGAGCCACCACCATCTTCCTCAACGGCAACCGCGAGCGCCCCCTGAACGTGTTTTGTGACATGGAGACGGATGGGGGTGGCTGGCTGGTGGGTGCCGCCCGAGACCCAGGGGCTGGGGGGCAGGGAGGTGCGAGGCCGGGAGCCGTCTGCTGAGGGTGCTCTCGCCCCATGTGCAGGTGTTCCAGCGCCGCATGGACGGAAAGACAGACTTCTGGCGGGACTGGGAGGAGTACGCCCATGGCTTTGGGAACGTCTCCAGGGAGTTCTGGCTGGGTGGGTGCCCCACCCTGGGACTGGAAACTTGGGAGGGAGGGGTGCCACGGAGCCCAGCGCCCTGATGGAACCCGTGCTCCCCACTCCAGGTAATGAGGCCCTGCACAGCCTGACGAAAGCCGGCGACTACTCGCTGCGCGTGGACTTGCGCGCTGGGGATGAGGCCGTATTCGCCCAGTACGACTCCTTCCGCGTGGACTCGGCCGCCCAGTACTACCGCCTCCACGTGGAGGGTTATCACGGCACCGCAGGTACGGCCCGGCCCCAGGAGCAGGCGCAGAGGGGGCTGGGATGGGTGTGAGACTCGAGACCTCATGGTACCTCCCACGCCCTGCCCAGGGGACTCCCTGAGCTACCATAGCGGCAGTGTCTTTTCTGCTCGAGACCGCGACCCCAATAACTTGCTCATCTCCTGTGCCGTGTCTTACCGCGGGGCCTGGTGGTACCGGAACTGCCACTACGCCAACCTCAACGGACTCTACGGGAGCACAGTGGACCATCAGGTGAGGGGCTGGGGCGCGGGACTGAGCTAAAGGTGGAGGCAGGGGTCGGCCTAGCCTGCCTGCAGTGGGTTCGGGTACCCCTGGTCCCCATCTGAGCACACAGTCATGCCAACCCCCAGGTCATGTTGAGGAGATGCTTTATTATGGAAAGGGTTGGCTCAGGGGGGAGCCCTGATCCTTGGCAGCAGAGTACTTCGGAGGGGAGCAGGGAGGGAAGGCCACTGGTGTCCAGACCCCTGAGGGGCAGAGTGGGCATCCGGCAGGCCTGGTTCTGACTCCCCATCACCCCACTTCTCAGGGAGTGAGCTGGTACTACTGGAAAGGCTTCGAGTTCTCAGTGCCCTTCACGGAAATGAAGCTGAGACCAAGAAACTACCAACCCCCAGCAGCGCAGGGAGACTGAGGCGCGGGTGGGACTGCGGCCAAGCACTGAGGGAGGGTCGCGCCCAGACAAGAGCCGGCGCACCTTCACCTGCGATCTCACAGCACTGTGTTTACAGGGGGGAGGGGAAGGGGTTGTACGGGAGCAATAAAAGGAGAAACGGAGGCGCGTGCGTGTTGGCCTGATCACTGGCGCTGACCCAGCGCGGAGGTGCCCGGCCTGCGCTGCTGCAGCCGCACCTGGAAAGGCTGGACCTTGAGGTTGTGCACCGAGTAGGGCTCGGGCTCCAGCGAGGGCAGGGCGCCCTCTGGCGGCAGCAGCGTGAAGGCCTGCAGCAGATGCACCAGCACCTGGAAGATCTCCACGCGGGCCAGCGGCTCCCCCAGGCAGGAGCGGGGCCCGCAGCCAAAGACCAGTGAGTTGACGCTGGTGCTGCCGGCAGGGTCCAAGAAGCGGTCTGCGGGCAGCAGAACAAACCCAGGTTCCCTGGAGGCCTCAGCCGGTCTCTTCTGCAACCCCCACACCACCGCAGCTCACCCACCCTGTGCGTACCTGGCCGGAACATGCGCGGCTGCTCCCAGATTGTGGGGTCCAGCAGGGCGCCTTGCAAGTTGGGAATGACCACCGTGTCCCGGGGGATGTCGTAGCCCAGGATGCTGCGGGGAGGGTGGCGTGAGAGGCCCTCCAGGGTCCACCTTGACGGCCCCGCTCAGCCTTGCCCTGGGAGATCACCTGGTGGGCCGCATGGTGCGGTGAGGCAGGCCCAGGGGTACCACCGGCCGCAGGCGCATCACCTCCGAGATGGTGGCGTTGAGCAAGGGCAGCCGCCCGCGGTCTCTGTACTGGAAGGGGCAGTCGGAGACTCCAGGCTCCAGCTGTGCATCCAGCTCCTCCTGCAGTCGCTCCTGAAGCTGGGAAATAGGGAACGAACCCGGACTCAGCCTGAGCGGGGGCACAGCGCACCCCCTGCCCAGCCTCAGCTGCGCCCTGCAGGAGCCACCCACAGAAGGTGGAGAAGCTGCACCCCCAGCTGTGAGGCGAGGCAGCCCAGAGGGCGTTAGCCCTTCGCTTGGCCCCAGGGCACACCTCCGGGTGATGAAGCAAGAACAGGACAACCCAGGAGAGGGTGCTCGACGTGGTCTTCAAGCCACCGATTATCAGGTCCAGCACCGCCATCTCCACATGCCTTTCACAGAGCTGCAGGTCCCGTCCCCCCTGCTGCCTGCTGACCTCCTGGAGCATGTAGTCAGTCATGTCCCTCGGCCGGCCTGCCACCATGCTCTCCTGCGAGGGGGTGGGGGGTGGGGGAGAGGACCCTGCCTCAGTGCCTGGCTTGGCGGATGCCAAGGGAGCTGCCCAGCCCCGGGTAGTGACAGCAGCCATGCGGACTCTCTGGGTCCCCACCTTGTGCTGCTGCAGCTGCTTCTCTAACAAGCTGCCTCTCTTCTCCAGAGCCTGCTTCAGCTTCCTGTGGCCCGGCATGGGGAAGAACTGGGCAGGGGCAGGGAATGCAGATTTGCATCCCAGAAGCAGGCTGGGGGGGAGGGGGTGGTGGTAAGGAGGGCACTCCCCCACCCCGGGCTCCAGGTGGGGACCTGGGGGAACCTCCTCACCCTGAAAAAAGGAAAGATGTCCAAAATCTGGGTGGACCAGTGTTCCCAGGCAGACAGTAAGTCCAGGATGTTGTTGTGAAAAACCTGGACTAACGTGTCCTCCTGACAGAACACGAAGAGCAGGAAAGGTCAGGGAAGGGCTGGCGGGGGACCCACCAGGGGTGCAGGGGAAGCCCTGACCTTTTCTGTGAAGCTGAGGTAAGTGATGATCCTGCAGGTGAACAGGGAGAATTCCTTCTGGATGTCCACGAGGGTGCCGGCCTGGGCTCTCAGGCCCTGTGGGGTTGGAGCGGGAGCACAGCAGGTGGGGGTGAGGAGCAGGGGGGGTGAGGCTGGTGTCCCCCGCCCCCCCGTGATGATGGCATCTCGTCTCACCTCACAGAACTCCCGGGTCACCTTCTCCATCCAAGGCTCCAGGAAGTTGTGCATGCCGTGCAGCAGGGCAGCGCGGGTGAGCCGTTTGTGGGCCTTCCAGAGTTGGGTATAGTCTCCCAGAGAGATGTCTTGATGGTCCCCAAAGAACAACTTGTCTGCAGGAAGTGAGGGGGCCAGTTGACATGACCATTGGCGTGGGACGCAGGCGCCTGTCTCTCCCTGCCACCTCTCCAGCCCCCAGCGCTCCTCTGGGAAAAGCCCCTCACAGGATGCTGCATGGGGTCTGCCGGCAAAGTCCACCGCCTTGGTGACCATGGCCTCCTCAATGGTCCTCTTCGAGTTTAGCACCACCACCTCTGATGGGGAGGAGGGGCGGGAAACACCCAGGGTCAGCAGGGAGAGGAGCCTCCAGCCCATCTTGAGGGGCCACAAGGGTCAGGCACTCACCCTGTAGCCCCAAGCGGATTCTGTAGATAGGTCCGAGCTTCTGAGCCAGGCCGAGCAGGTAGATGGGGTGGTCAGGCTGCAGCAGATGCAAGAGGCCAGGGGCCAGAGGTGGGAGGTGCAGCTTGCAGGGCTCCCCGCGGCTCCACAGCAGGCGGGTGCTGGTGAGCAGGAGCAGCAGCAGAAACAGTCCCAGGAGCAGCATGGTGGGGCCCACCCCCGGGCCTGGCCCCGGCCTCTTATAGGCCCCGAGACCCCCATTTATCTCGCTGCCTAGAGGCCTCTCTGCACTTCCTCCCTCCAGCCTCGCCCACCTCCTTACTCTCGAAATAGCGTATTCTGGGAATGAGGCCAGTTGCCTTGGCCTTGGGGGAACATACTTCAAAAGATGTTTTCTTTTTTATGACAACCAAAATCGGAAATTACAAACTGTGACCTTTCACCGTAGCCAACTTGGCTTGTTGGGTCCGAGTCAACCTTGGTAGAGATGTGCCTGGCCAGAGTCCTTTCCTACCCCCTACCCCCAACCTTGGACCAATGTATTACTACAGAGCTTATCTCAGAGCAAGTGGCATCCTTGTCTGCCCTGTCCTGAAGAATAATTGCCTGAGGAACAAAAGGAGATCAGGCCCAGAGAAGAAGGTCAGCAGGAAAAGTACTTGTCTTCATGCAGCCAGTCTGGGTTCCATCCCCAGCAGGAGCCCTGAGCACTGAGCCAGGAGTAAGACCTGAGGACTGCTGGGTGTGCCTCCTCCAAAGAGAGACACAGACAGGCAGAGAATAAAGGGAGAATAAAGTCTTTGTGTTTTATGTTTTGAGGCAGTACCTTGAGAGATAGAGAAGCAAAGGCAGAGCCATGACAGGCTCATAAAGAAGCCAGAAGCTAGGCCCAAGTTTCGGTTCCAGAATTCCTGGAATGAGCCAAGATACCTGGAATTGAGCCATGATTTACTGGAATTGAGATAGCCATGGTGAGGTCAACTAAGGGTTACCAATCAGATGCAGGTCGGGAAGCCTCCCCCCCCCCATATAACCCTCACGTAACTCTTTATGAAATCTATATGTAACTCCAACTTACAACCAATCGGATAAGTACAAGTAGTGAAAAGCTCCCCAGACTGTGGCCAAAAGGGTGGTCTGTGGAAAGTCCCTGTTATATAATGTTATGGTATAAAAGTTCCTCACTTTTGAGACTTGGGGCCACTCGTTCCAAGAAGGCTGCCATTGTGTGGTTGAGCCGGACAAGGGCCCTAGCTCGAGCTAGCCAATAAAGACCCTCTGCTTATTGCATTGCAACTTGTCTTCGTGTGATTCCACTGGGGAGATCTTGTCCCGGTTTAACAACCTGAAAGAGTTCAGGGCTTACTCCTTGCTCTGTGCTGAGGGATCATTCTCAGTGGGAGTTGAGACACTGGACATGGTTCAGGGAATGGAGCCAAGACCAGCAATATAGGGCCAGACCCCCAACCAGCTCTACCACTCTCTGACCCTGATTCTGCCTGGGCCTATTCCACTTTATACCTATATTTTCAGTGTAATTATGACACTAACAGTGCCCCAATTTCACTCTCTAGAGTTGGAGAGATGAAAGAGTATCTTATCCTTATCCTCTCTCCCAACAGTTTGTTGCTCAGCAGTGACCCTGCACAGGAGTTGTTACAATGCCTGGGCCACCCACAGGCAAGACACACACTGGACCATGAAGCTACATTCCTGGCCCCAAACCTGGTGTTTTTTTTTTTTTGCTTGCAACCTGAACTGGCTTGAATCCCAAATAAGATGATACAAAGATCTCACAGACCTCTAAAGACCGCAGGAAAGCAGGAGAAACTGCAAACTGCCCTGGACATCCTCTCAGTTCCTCCTCTCTCCTGTGTCTGCCACCACAATCACTCTGAAGTTGCTTGCACTAAGCTCAGGCACAGCAGAACTGCTTCCGGGTCAGAACCCAGAGATTGTAGCACCGCTCCAGGGCAAGTGGGCTCCAGGGCAAGTAGGGATTCCTGAACGTGCTCCCTTGTCCTCCCAAAGCCTAGGGAGGGACTCTATAATAGTCACAGTTTGGATCAGGAAGTAGATTTGGGGTTTGTAGCTGAAAGGCGTGGGACTCCACTAGATGCAGGACTTTTCCGGGGCAGAGCTGGGGAGGGTGCACTGCAAGACTGGGGAGATGCTTGAGGCCTTGCCAAACCTGGGGTCAGGGCTCTGTGAGAGAGGCATGTGCTTTTTTGCACTCTCAGGGTATATTCCCAGAAGTGGTATTGCAGGATCATATGGAAGCTCAATTTCTAGCTTTTTGAGGAATTCCCACATTGTTTTCTAAAAAGGCTGGACCAGTCGACATTCCCAACAACAATGAAAAAGCCTCCCTTTCTCCCCACATCCACGCCAGCACTGCTTGCTTTTATTCTTTTGAACATGTGCCAGTCTCTGTGGTGTGAGATATCTCATTGTTATTTTGATTTGCATCTCCCTGATGATTAGCGATGTGGAGCATTTTTTTCATGTGCCTTTTGGCCATTTGTATTTCTTTTTAGAGGAAGCTTCTGTTCATTTCTTCTCTCCATTTTTTGATGGGGTTGGAGGTTTTTTCTTGTACAATTCTACTAGTGTCTTGTACATCCTGGATATTAATCCCTTATCATATGGCTATAGGGTAAATATTCTTTTTTTTTTCTTTTTGGGTCACACCTGGCGATGCACAGGGGTTACTCTTGGCTCTGCACTCAGAAGTTACTCCTGGTGGTGCTCAGGGGACCATATGGGATGCTGGTAATCAAACCTGGGTCAGGGGGTGCAAGGCAAATGCCCTACCCACTGTGCTATCTCTCCAGCCCCAAGGGTAAATATTCTTTCCCATTCCATGGGCTCTCTCTGTATTTTGTTTCTTTTGAGGTGCAGAATCTTCTTAGTTTAATGTAGAAATGACATCTGCATATGTATGTTCATTACAGCACTGTTCACAATAGCAAGAATCTGGAAACAACCCAAGTGCCAGAGAACAGACAACTAGTTAAAGAAACTCTGATATACATCTACACAATGGAATACTATGCAGCCGTTAGGAAAGATAAAATCATAAAATTTGCTTATAAGTGGATGGTCAATGGAGAGTATCATGCTAAGTGAAATGAATAAGAAAGAGACGGACAGACATAGAATGACTGCAGTCATTTGTGGAATATAAATGAGACTGACACTCAAGGACAGTAGACACAAGAGCCAGGAATATTGCTCCATAGTTGGAAGCCTGTCTCATGAGCTGGGGGAGAAGGCAGCTGGAATAGAGAAGGAATCACTAAGTCAATGATGGTGGAGGGATCATTCAGGATAGGAGATGTGTGCTGAAAGTAGATAAAGGACCAAATGCGATAGCCTCTCAGTAACTATTGCAAACCACAATGCCCAAAAGTAGAGAGAGAGTATGGGGGAAACTGTCTGCCATAGAGGCAGGGAGAGGATAGGAAGGTGAGGGGGTGGGTGGGAATACTGGGGACATTGGTGGTGGAAAATGTGCGCTGGTGGAGGGATGGGTACTCGATCATTGTATGGCTGAAACGTAAGCACAAAAGCTTGTCAGTATGTAACTGTACCTCACGGTGATTCATTAAAAAATATTAATAATTTTTTTTAAAAAAGTGATCCCTGAGCACAGAGCCAGAATAAGCCCTGAGCATTGTGGAGTGTGGCCCAACTCCCACAAGCAAAAAAAGGGAAAAAATCTCCCTAAAAGCCAGGTGCCAGGACACAGCCATTCTAAACTGTGCTGACCACCAGCCCAATCTGAATATAATGAACGCAGGGCCCCCAAACGTGCTGTGCCCTTGACCTCTGGCCTTGATACTCTGACCCCCACTCTGCCTAAGTCATCAGTCTTCATAATCCTACTTAGATGTCTAGCTGTGCTCCTCCAGACCACACGGCCGCTGGCATTGCATCTCACACAGGTGCAGGGTTTCTACATGGGGCCAGGCACGGGGAGCTTCGGGGTCCTGCTGTCTCCATTGCCATCAAAAGTGAGCCCAGAAGGTGTCTCTAGAGGGACTTCTAGACCACTCTGAAGCCAGAGAGGAGACCCCTTATGGGGATAGCTGGGCAGGCAGCGAAGGTTGACCCCAGGAGAGTGGCAGTCTCCCAGAGGACTTGGACACATGAAAGGTGGCCTTGAGGGCTAGAGACAGTCCAGTGGGTACTGGCCTTGCAAGCATCTCACAGGGGTTCAATCCCTAGCACCATGTGTGGTCCCCTGAGCCCTACCAGCGTGATCCCTGAGCACAGAGCCATAAGTAAGCCCTGAGCAAACAACAACAACAAGAATACACACACACACACACACACACACACACACACACACACACACACACACACCAGGTCTTGGGGGCTGGAGGGCTGTTTCAACAGGCTGAGCCCATGCTCGTGTATGTGAGACTCCGACTCAATCCTCAGCTCCACGTGGCCCTCGGCACTGCTGGATGTGGCTCAAAAACAAAAAATCTAAAAACAATAACTCAGGATATGGATGATATCAGATCTAAGGATGATAAGCATCTAAGAAAGTTGCCAATGCCACAGATAACAGGATGGAGGTCAGAGGCTTTCAACAGCCTGGACTTGGCCAAAAGCCACAAGTGCCAGAATTGACCCATACCCAGGACAGAGTCCTGACCCACAGCCAGGACTGAGTGGCTGGGGCTAACCCTAACCCAGGGCGGAGTGGCCAGGACTGACGCATAGCCAGAACGGTGTGGCCGGGGCTGACCTGCACCCAGGACGGAGTGGACAGGCTGCATTGGGCTCGCAGCCAGGGCTGGGGTTTGTGCTTGGGGGAGCCTTGCCGGAGGCCAGAGTTACAGCTACATGGGGTGGTGTCATCCAGGGAATACCAGAGTCCTCCCAAGACTGCAATGAGGCAGGGGCAATGAGGTGCCTGTGAGGTATCTAGAAGGTTCTAGAAGGTTCGTCCAATGGCCGGAAGTCTAAGATAATCGAAGCCTGCTTGGAATTGGCAGGGGCTGAGAGGACATGTTATGGGCGGAGACACTGATTTTGTTCTTTATTGCGGTTACTGTGGGGCCCCCCTGGGCTCTGGGCTGGCCCCAGGGCTCCTCCTGCTCTCAGACTTGGCAGCCCTGGGAGCTGTACTCCTGCAGGAAGTCTTGGAACTGTGCACAGGGCCCCCGGTGGCGGGTGCTCCGACACATGCGT